GGATGTTGTCTGGGCCAGTTGCTTTGTGCGGATTAATCCTCCTGAAGTTCCTAAGATACAGCTGATGATTACTTTCTGTGAGTTTCAAACAAATCCAACAAGCTGTTCATGAGATGTGTTGCTAACAGACAGACCATCTAAGTTCACATGCATTTCTAAATGTGTGTTTCTGAAGTCAGGTCAGAGGTGCATGCGTGAACTGTGCGTGCGAACGTGCGTGCATACGTGCTCTGTGTGCAAGTAGACTCGCTGCATACTGTACGCAGATGGTTGATGGCTGAACATACCGTATTTTAGTTTGAAATCGACATATTTCATTGAAAAGTGACTAGTCTGCAGGTCTGAGATAGAACAAGTTAAAAACACCTCACAAAGTGGTCGGGACAAAAGAATTGGCTAATTTTACATGTAAAACATGGGACTTAAAATGGCCGCACTCTCCCTTCTGAGGCACCTCACAAACAAACCATAACTTGCTGGTGAAGATTCTCAGTCATCCAGGACTCGGTAAATACAAAAAAGTTCAAAACAGAACAACTGGACTTTGTAACTGAACACGTTTCGCTTCTCATGCGAGGAGTTTCTCAATTCAATGAAACAAAACCATAACTCCCACAGCCAAACCACACATACTGGTGGGAAGTCGACAACAATTTCTACATTTTATAATCAATAATATATGAATAGGGATGGGAATTGATAAGAATTTGTCAATTCCAATTCCTTTATCGATATGACCTATCGATTCAATTCCTTATCAGTTCTCATTGGGTTAGGAAATATAATACAGTACACCATTTGTGTGCATGAAGTATTTAATGCTCTTTCACCAGAACAAAAATAGAACTGGTATGGAAAAAGAATTCCTAATTAACATTATTAACACATCATCATAAAACACAACTGCACTTTTAAATTTTGGCAAATTAGCAATTTTTGTGCAGAAAAATGAACATGTTCAGGTCTCTCTTGTAAATGAGTCCTCGGGGCTCAATGGCATTTACCTGTTTAAATAAAGGTTGAATGAATTTGACCACGCAGCATTCGGTTTGCACAAATGTACCGTCTTTCACACGCTGCTTGGCGGTGGAAGTGCAGCTAGCAAAGCGTCCTCCATCTGAAATGTCGCAGCAGGTAACGTTAAACTCCTCCAGGTCCTGTCGATTGTTACCTTTTTGCTGCTTTCACTGTCTTGTATAAATAATCTCCATCTCCTGTAATAACATTTAGTTGACGAGGACTGCCGGCGTCTGGCTGGCTCCGAGGCTGGTGCTAGCACAACTTTAGCTTCCCCTTTCATCGAAGCAGGGAAGAGTAAGTTTTATATTTTTGTTCAGTGTGTTTAATCGTAGCCGATCTCTGTTGTGAGACCGTTTCTTGTTGCTCAGTGTTTTTTATGGTGAATTTCTTCTCACCACACCACTTTATTTATAAAGCACTTAAAACAGCAACAAGGCCAACCAAAGTGCTGTACAGACAGAACAACAGGTAACACACAAAGCAAAATACAAAATGAGGTCAATCAGAATATAAACATAAAAACGATGCAGATAATGACAAACCAGTGTGGAGCATACAGGATCAAACACAGATCATCTGGTGTTGAAAGCTACTGAATAGTAGTGAGTTTTTAAACAGGACTTGAAAACCGAGAGGGAGGGGCCTGTCTGACAAGCAGAGGTAACTCGTTCCAGAGTCTTGGTCCTGCTACAGAGAAGGTCCTGTCACCTCTGCGCTTAAGACGAGTTCCTGGAACTGTGAGGAGCAACTGGTCCGCTGACCTCAAAGAGCATGGTGGGACAAATGGTTCTAGCAGATCAGAGAGATGGGGACGCGGGGGTGGGCGGGGCTCTTCAGTGATTTGTAGACATACATGAGTATTTTGAACTGGATTCAAAGGTGAACTGGTAACCAGTGCACTGAGGCCAAAACTGGTGTAATGTGCTCTCTTTTGCCTGTACCGGTTAAAAATCGGGCTGCTGCATTCTGGGCCAGTTGTAGTCGTGCAATGGAGGTCTGACTGATACCAAACAGGAGTGAATTGCAGTAATCAAGCCTAGATGTAATGAATGCAGGTATTACTGTCTCCAGGTTCTTTTTGGACAGTATGGGCTTCAGTTTAGACAGCCGCCTCAGTTGGAAGAAGCATGATTTAACAATCATGTTTACATGATTGTTAAGCTTCAGGGAAGGGTCCATTATCACGCCCAGATTAATGACTCTTTGTTTTTCTGACAGGGTTAGAGCGGAAAGGTCGATGCAGTGGTTTGTGATCGTGTCGTTGGGAGGGAACAACATGACTTCAGACTTCTTTTCATTGAAACTTAAGAAGTTTAAAGACATCCAGTCCCTGATGTCAGCCAGGCAGTTGAGCAGCGGTTGAATAGAGGATGTACCATTGTGTCTTAGGAGGAAGTAAATTTGACAGTCATCGGCGTAGAAGTGGAAGGTCATGTTGTGTTTCTGAAAAATAGCACCAAGCGGCAGCAGGTATAAAGAGAATAGGAGGGGACCCAGTATGGACCCCTGCGGAACCCCCCATTTAAGCTCTGCCTCTGCGGAACTAAAATCCTTGATGGAGACACAAAAGGATCTGTCAGCGAGGTAAGATCTGAACCAATTCAGGGCTGATCCTGTGACGCCCACCCACTGCTCCAACCTAGTAATGAGGATCTCATGGTCGATTGTGTCAAAGGCGGCCGTGAGGTCCAATAGGACAAGCAGCACAGAATCACCAGTATCTGTGAATCTGAAGATGTCGTTAAAGACCTTCAGCAGGGCAGTTTCAGTGCTGTGGAGAGGTTTAAAGCCAGATTGGAAAAGCTCTAAGATGGTGTGATCCTCCAGGAAGCACTTCAACTGGGACTCGACTATTTTCTATTTTCTCCAGTACTTTAGAAACAAATGGGAGTTTGGAGACAGGTGGTAGTTGGAAACGACTGAGGGGTCAGAGCTGGGAGAGACACAGAGGCAGGCAGAAGAAGATGAAGATGATAACTATGTAAGTTTTGCTTTTTGTAATGAAAGATGACAGATTGCATGGATTATGACACTATTTAATTTAAAATTGAACCTTGTGGATTACAAGTTGTGGTTATGTCAATAATTTCAGACACCTCCCATAAAGCAGCCAAAAAAAGACAGCCCTAGAAGAACTCTTTGAAGAAGAGGACTTCAAGCTTCTGTCAGTGCAGCAGCAGCCCCCCATCTCCATAGCTCAGAGTGGATGGAGAAGTCCAACTATGCAGAAGCCTATCACCCATTCCAACCAAGGACAGCCCCACCCTCTGCTGGATGAAGAAGGACACATGACCATATTTTCAGCTTTAGCTGAGAAGTATCTGTGTCCAAACATCCTCCACTCCATCTGAGAGGGCGTTCTCCACAGCTGGAGATACTAAGTCCAGAAAGATCTCGTATCCTTCCTGAGAAAGCAAACATTCATTCAACCTTTATTTCTACAGGTAAATCCCATTGAGCCTCGAGGACTCATTTACAAGAGAGACCTGATAAAAGCTTCTGCATGTTAGAAGTATTTCCACTCTTTGTTGTAATCGACGCTTTGCACGTGTTGCTAGTAGCCCTGGTCTCGTCTTTTTTTGTGAAGTAGAGCCACGCGCTAGACCGCTTCTTCCTCGACGCCATGTTGAATACCAAATACGGCGCATGTCTGTGATGTCATCACGTAAATGCGTCATCACGTCGAGTCAGTAGAACCGATAAACAGAATCGTTAGTCAAGCCGCCTACAATTCAGGGAATTGAACTACTAAGAACCGGTTCTCTAAAAGAACTGGTTCTCAGTTCCCATCCCTATAGATGAGCGTATCTTAAACGATGTGGTGGTAAGAAGATTGTTCGATGACTTTGATTCTTCTTCAGGGACCTCTCCTCTGGGTCATGTGACCTCAGAGCTGCAGTTAGTGTGAGAAGTGTTACGTCAGGCGTTTTACATGGGGAAATCTGCGTCTGTGTTCGCAAATTACATCGCCATGGCAACTCGAAACATCAATAAAATCACGGGCGAGCCAGTCGTTTTGATATAACATTTGTGGGGGTTCACGTTGAGGTTCAGGTGGATGCCTTTCCAGGCAGTCCCCAATAAATCAAACTCTGGTGTTGAAACGGCTTCAATCAACGATTTTATTTAAATTACAAAAACAGAAAAACGACCAAGAACTGACCCCGAAGCACACGAGACGACAAACTGTCCAGTGAAGGCAGAGAGGTCCAGACTGAGGGGGGTTCTGGTCCAGACTGGGGGGGTCTAGTCCAGACTGAGGGGGTCCAGTAGAGAG